GACAGGACATTCTGTTTTGTAAGTGTAAATACGTCAATAAATTCATGTCTCGTAAGCTCACATCGGTGTCGGCTTGTGCCAGTTGTGTAACGTAGAGCGTGTGAGAAGATCATCCACCACACACGCATGAACACTGCCTAGACAACGAGAAGAAACACACACCACTTATTACAACTAGGTTTAGTAGTAGACAAGTACCAGAAGATTACACAGTTGTAGAAAACTATAGGATGATCACATTATCACAGAAAAGGACCAGAAGATCACATAAACATAGACAAGTACTCAAAGATCACATAGGCATAGAAATGTACCATATGATCACATAGACAAGGGCCAGAAGATCTCACAGACATAGAGATGCACCAGAAGAACCTACATACATAGACCAGGACCAGAAGATCACATAGACAAGTAACATATGATCATAGAATAGACAAGAAGATACAATAGACAAGGACCAGAAACTGGCAGAGTCATAAACAAGTGTATCAAAATATATTCTTGATATTGACAAGCACATCTGTTGTAGATGCCCTATATACAGGTATTGGGTAGCAAGATTAGTCTGGGTTTGTTTGCCAACAGCCACCAGGACTTTTTTTTCTGACCAGAATAAATCTGCTATGAAGCAGTATATAGAATCTGTTCTGTTGTTTACAAGTGAAACACAGACAGTGAGAGAATCTGTTGTGTTGTTTACAAGTGAAACACAGACAGTGAGTTAATCTGTTCTGTTGTTTACAAATGAAACACAGACAGTGAGAGAATCTTATGGTAGAGAAAATGTGGTTTCTGAGGAAAATGCAAAGAAAACCACACATAGAAAAAAAATGATGCCGTTCTTCAGGAGGCAGATGTAGCCCTTAAATTTAATAAATGTGTTTTAGACAGTTGTGAGGGACAAACTTAAAAATGTTGTGAAAGAAAAGGAAAAGCCAGGATTAATACCTGGAATACTTGGCTAACTGGCATATGGACACCTCATGAGGACTGGAAAACGAATTATGGCTGCCCACATTTATTGACAGGAAACATGATGATGATGATGATAATTCTGTAATCAAATCATCCTTTTTGTAATCGGAATCAAATATTTTTATATTTTGCTCTTTCATACTTCTTTTTACCAGTCTCTCCATTGTTGCTGATTATATTGCATAAGTATTCAATGGTTGTGACCTTTTTAGTTTCTTTAATGTGATATTTGAAAACAGCTTTGATTAAAGTTTTTTTAACAGCTTTGATTATAAGTTTTCAAAACAGCTTTGATTATAAGTTTTAGAAACCGCTTTAATTATAAGTTTTTTCAACAGCTTCGATTATAAGTTTTGGAAACAGTTTTAATTATACATTTTGGAAATAGCCCTGATTATAAGTTTTGGAAACAGCCTTGATTGTAAGTTTTGGAAACAGCTTTGATTACAAGTTTTGGAAACAGCTTTGACTACAAGTTTTGGAAACTGCTTTGACTACATGTTTTGGAAAGAGTTTAAATTATAAGTTTTGGAAACAGCTTTGATTATAAGTTTTGGAAACAGCTTTGATTATACATTTTGGAAACAGATTTGATTATACGTTTCAGAAACAGCTTTGATTATAAGTTTTGGAAACAGCTTTCATTAAAAGTTTTGGAAACAGTTTACATGTTTGTGACACCATTGCTGTTCTCATTGCCTAATGCTATTTCTGATTGTAATTTTCTAGAAATGCGTTCAACAAAACTGAACTTGACAAACTCATGAACAATGACCTTAAAATGAAGCAGATCCTTTATCAGCACATCTTGCCTGCCAAGTATATGACTTCTTTGACACCATTGTTCAACTCATTCTACAATCTTCAGGGAAATATGGTCAATTTTGAGACAGTTAAGGTGCGATTATTCTACTGCCTTATATTTACAGACAGAGGAGATTATTCTACTGACCTACACTTGTAGATAGTTAAGGGAGATAATTCTACTGAATTATAGAAACAATAAGGGGGAAAATACCACATTATTATCTGTCCCCCCAAAAACAACTATCACTACTGTCTGTTTTACCACTTTTTAGGGTAGTGAGATGGGGAAGGAGAGGGGGGGGGGGGCTTGAACAAGAGGATTTATGGCTGCCTGGCTAGTGCTGTCGCCACAGACAGTGCAAGTTGTGATGTTTAATTTAGCCCCTTACCGGGGTCAAACAGGTCTCCTGCATGAGAGCCTGACATAGTAACTGCTTGCCCAGCCACTAAGGCTTATAAGAGAATTATCATGGAAGTCAGTCCTGGAAGAAAATAGGGGTTTTTGAGATAGAGGCTAGAGAAATATTGTCAGAATACCATGAACAAACAAGAAAAGAAATAATGATATTACAACAGATCTTAACATTGAGGAAGGTTGACGAAAAAACAGCATTTTGTCTCAGATGTCAAAATATTTTGGCTATATCAATCACCACAGCAAGTTGGAAAAAAAAAAAGAATAGCAGAAGGCATGGTACCAGGAAGGAGAAGCAGAGGCCGATCAACACAAAGACCGATATAAGATATAAGTGACTCCTTGGATATGAAAGTATATGCAGCAGGAGAGCTGGCAAGAGACTGAGTTTCTTTCAGACAAACAGTGATAAGAGCGACGTTCTGCAAAGAACCTGCTACATGATGATGTTTTGACAAAAGTAATATTTTAGAATGCAGTAGAAAAAGCAGTTGATGTTTTAGAGTAAAGGTCAAGTGGAGTGAGTGCAAAGTTCATGGACTTATGGATGTGCTATGTGTGCAGTGAAGATGATTCTGGGAAACTCCACTTGTAGAGTTACCTTCATTGTTTTTTTGTTTGTTCGTGCCCAGGGAATGTGGGTGTTGTAGTTAATGAAATGGCTGATAGATTGACCAGTTCTGCCTTAGTTACAGATGGCCAGCCTGTGAATTACGCTGACATTGTGAATGCCCTTAGAGAGATAAGATTTTTGAAGCAGACTGTCCACATCACTGTTAAGAATGTGAGAACTGAGAGTAAATAATGGCACAGCCAGGCATGAGAGTCACACTGGACATACAAGAAGTCTTGCTAACCAGCATAGGACTCGCACTCTTAACCGCAGTATGCTGATGTATACATGGAAGGGGGAATCTGAGCCCATATGAGCATGACAGGAGTGCCATGAAGATAACCATACTCATACCATTTTAAAACCCCATTCAGTAAAAGATATGGCAAATATGGCAGTATTCAAATATACTAATACTCCTTTGGGAATCTGCTAGTCTGGGAGTTTACATCAGTGACAAAAGTCCAGACCTCAAAATGAATTCAGACCCAAGACCTGTGTGGATCTTGTATCCATTTTTGTGCTGGTCGGCCTCTGCCCCTCTTACCTGGCACCACACCTTCTGCTACTATTCTTTCAAATCTGCTGTGGTACTTAAGATTGTAAAGATTTTTCTTGACAAAGGTTAATGTCTTTTTGACAAAGGTTGTTTAAATCAGAATGTCAGACTTACAGAGCTTGATTCAATGTATGTTAAATTGCCTTCCTTTATTGATATTATATACTTTTTGTTGATTTTTTCCACACACACACACGCACGTGCACGCATGCGCATGCACATACACCACACACACACACACACACACACATACACACACATATATACACACACACATATACACATATACACACCCATATACACACTATATACACACACACATATACACACACACATATATATACACATACACACACACATACACACATACACACACATATATATATATATATATATATATATATATATATATATATATATATATATATATATATATATATATATATATATATATATATATATATATATATATATATATATATATATATATATATATATATATATATATATATATATATATATATATATATATATATATATATATATATATATATATATATATATATATATTGTATATTAATTCACCAACACAGTTTATTATCAGTCATCATCATCATCACTTAGCAGGTCCTTTTCAGAACATCACTCCCATCACTGTCTGCCTAAAGGAAACTCTGTAAATGTTATTCCCCTGGCTTTGAGTCTTTGTGAGATATATGTTTTTAAAACAGGAATTACATTTATTGTTTATTGCTTGATCTTTCTGTAACTTTTTGTTTTTCCATAAATTCTGAAGGCTTATTTGGCTAGGTTACACTTGGAAGTTGCAGGATGTTAGAATTTGTTAGGTGATCCTCTCTGGTGAATGACAGATGTCAGTGTCTGCCTTTCTGGTGAATGATAGATGTCATTGTCTGTCTCTTTGGTGAATTACATATGTCAATGTTTGTCTCTCTGGTGAATTACAGATGTCAATGTTTGTCTCTCTGGTGAATGACAGATGTCAATTTCTGCCTCTCTGATGAATGACAGATGTCAATGTCTGCCTCTGCTATGATTTAAATGTGTGTGCATATGGAACATGAATCATGTGTAAGGAGGTGAATTTATGGGATCAGGATTGCATAGATCAAATCTCCTCCCCAGTAAATCCTGCAGTGCAGCAGCCAATGACACCCACTTTGTGTTGGTTTACTATTCAGGTTCTTGCATAGTTCTTGTCTTACCCAACCCCTTTTCATGTTCTTCTATAGTTCTTGTCCTACCCAACCCCTTTTCAGGTTCTTCTATAGTTCTTGTCTTACCCAACCCCTTTTCACTAAATTCTTACCAGTAATGTGGCCTGGATTTTCTTACTGCGATGCAAATCTTCAAAATTCAGTTCCTAATAGCTTTCAAACTGTTGGATCAAAAGTTTGAACTGTATTTTGATTCTGCTGCTTATTCGCGCCCCCAACCTTTCCAATGGTATCTCCTGGTGTGGCCACTTCACTGTATCACAGCACATCACAGCCCTGCTTCTAGCTGTCTCTTTTGAAGTCAAAATGGCAGCTTTTTCATTTTATTTTCAATGATTTAATTTTTGTTTTTGTTTCAATTTGATCACATTATACCATTATCTTGATCAGGAGAATGATACATTCTGGAACTACTACTACAAACTGACCTACGGTTCTGCCTACACAGAGAAATCTAAAATTATAGCGAGGGATATTGTTGCATCAAATGGAGCCATACATTTAATAAGTGATGTAATGGGACTGAAGGATAATCAGTTTGAAGACAGCAAGGTAAGAAATCTTGAAAACTGGGTTAAAAGAAAGAGAACAAATACTATCAGAACAGCTGTTTAACTCATTCAACAGCAAACTTGTGTTCATTGGATAGTTCAATTGTACCAGATTTGCTTTTTCTTTTTAAATGGTCTGGGATTCAAGGTTGACCCAGCCTAAAATGGGTACTGGGATTTGTCCTGGAAAATATAGGTGGGCTGTATGATATTGATCAAATCATAGATGAAAGGCCAGTTACTTAATTTAAGAAAAAAAAAAATGGTCTAGCACTTTATGCCAGGTGTGTCATGCTTGAAAAAAACAATCCTTGACTTTTTTTGTTTTCACTGTGGGATTGTGGTGCAGTGATTTGGTTTATGTGATTTTTATTTTTTATTTTACAACAAACCTGGAATTTTAAAGCCTGCATCCAAGAGGAAATAATTTGATAGCTGAATTAAGGATCATGGAAAAAGCATAGCAGTGTTGCTTGTTTCTTTAAAATCCTTGAAGTGATTTGTGCATAGAATGCACAAGTAAGAGACAGGCACTGGCCTCTAGATCTATCTGCCCTTTTGGCCGCTCTAACAGAAGAGATAAGCTGGAGCAGGCATCAACTGGTGGTATTAGTGTAATAAGAAATATGAAAACAAATATATGAAATTTTATCTTCACAGAGATCAGCCCATCTCTCAGAGAATAGTCTGTCTGTAAGTGGACATTAAATGTAACCATTGTTGACCTGTCTGTAAGTGGACATTGTTGTTGTTGTTATCAATCCAGCGGCGCATGAGCTTTCTCCCTTTGGCCCAATGCCATGTAGTGGAATTTGCATGTTTTCACAAGCTGTTCTTTTCCTCCGTACGAGGTGTTCCACTTGTCTGGTCTCGGAGGGAGTAGCGTTCTTCTTGTCTCACTGAGTTTTGGGCACTCAAAGAGATGGTGTTCAACAGTTTCGTAGGGGTAGTTACATAGCTGGCACTCTGGGGAGTGTTGTGGCTGTATTCTGTTTAGGTGTCCATTGAGTGGAGTATGTTGCGTTCTAAGTCTGAAGATGGTGGCCTGGTCCCTTCTTGTTAGATGGTTAATGCTGTCATTAGGATCAGGGCCAGACATATGTCTATAAACCTCTCTTCCAATGTCTCCCATGGCCCATCTGTTCAACCAAGTCTCTTTGTTTATAGCTCTTATCAGTGTTTTTGCTGTCTGGAGGGTTGTCGCTGTAGGTGGTTGTTCTTGTGTTGCTCCTTTCTTAGCCAATCTGTCAGCTCTGTCATTACCTGGTGTGCCGGAGTGACCTGGAATCCACTGCATCACTATTCTAATGTTGTATGAGGTAATAAGCTGATCAGCATCCAGGATTATCTTAGCTATGTCAGTTCTGCAGCGTTCACTGCCCTCCAGAGCTTGAAGGGCAGACATTGAATCTGTGAAGATGACAATATTTTGGACCTTTGAAGGGTAAACATCTATTACAGTCTTTAGGTGGTATACTGCTGTTTCCAGTGCAATTATTTCAGCTTCATAGTTTGAACAGAATTCCCCGCATGCATCAAAAATCTCTTCAACAGATCCATCGGGATAACCTATGTAGATTCCGTAACCTGCTTTAATGGTAGCTTTAAATGCTGATCCATCAGTATAGACATGTATCCATTCTTGGGGGTAAGAATCAACGGTCTTTAGTGATGAGTTCATAAGAGCGATTGGGCCGGACTGTTTGGTTTCCTCGCCTACCAATTTAGTTCGGACTTCTGGAGCTTTAAAGCGAGCATGTGGTGGTAGGTTTCTTGCAACATTCTGAATTCCTTGACGTCTTTCTGGGAGGTGGTATCTGTCCTGAATTTCATTAACACAGTGTAAAACCGATTTGTGCTTTATTCTTTGTTTGGATTCCCAGTTTTCTACAAGATGTCTATTAGGATGGTTACGATTTTTCCTAACGCATCTTTCATAAATTTCTAAAGTGGCTTTTGTAAGTGGACATTAAATGTAACCATTGTTGACCTGTCTGTAAGTAGACACTGAAAACAACCATTCTTGTCCTGTCTGTAAATAGACATTGAGAGAAACCATTGTTGACCTGTCTGTAAATAGACATTGAGAGAAACCATTGTTGACATGTCTACAAAAAGGCATTGAGAGTAACCATTATTCAATTGTCTGTAAATAGACATACAGCAGTAACAATCCTCTACCTGTCTGTAAATAGACATACAACAGTAAAGATCCTCTACTTGTCTGTAAATAGACATACAACAGTAAAGATCCTCTACCTGTCTGTAAATAGACATACAACAGTAAAGATCCTCTACCTGTCTGTAAATAGACATACAGCAGTAACAATCCTCTACCTGTCTGTAAATAGACATAAAGCAGTAAAAATCGTCTACCTGTTTGTAAATAGACAAACAGCAGTAACAATCTTCCACATGTCTGTAAATAGACAAACAACAGTAACTATCCTCTACCTGTTTGTAAATAGACATACAGCAGTAACAATCCTCTACCTGTCTGTAAATAGACATACAGCAGTAACAGTCCTCTGCCTGTCTGTAAATATACAGCAGTAACAATCCTCTACCTGTCTGTAAATAGACAAACAGCAGTAACAATCTTCCACATGTCTGTAAATAGACATAACAACAGTAAGTCTTCCACCTGCCTTTAACTCTTTGAGTCCCAGGGGGTTTAGAATCACAGGCACAAGGGGTAGTCAAGAGAGACGTAAAATCAGCGTATCTTGCGTTCATTGGGCTTCTAGGTAGGAATCTATGAACATATTATGCATTCCTTGGCACTCAAAGAGTTAAATAGACATATATCAGTATCAATTCTTTACCCATCTGTAAGCAGACAAACTACAGTAACCCTCATCAATCTGTAAGCAGACAAACTACAGTAACCCTCTTCCATCTGTAAGCAGACAAACTACAGTAACCTTCTTCCATCTGTAAGCAGACAAACTACAGTAACCTTCTTCCATCTGTAAGCAGACAAACTACAGTAACCCTCTTCCATCTGTAAGCAGATAAACTACAGTAACCCTCTTCCATCTGTAAACAGACACACTACAGTAACCCTCTTCCATCTGTAAGCAGACAAACTACAGTAACCCTCTTCAATCTGTAAGCAGACAAACTACAGTAACCCTCTTCCATCTGCAGGAAACTGACAAACTACAGTAACCCTCTTCCATCTGTAAGCAGACAAACTACAGTAACCCTCTTCCATCTGTAAGCAGACAAACTACAGTAACCCTCTTCCATCTGTAAGCATACAAACTACAGTAACCCTCTTCCATCTGTAAGCAGACAAACTACAGTAACCCTCTTCCATCTGTTAGCAGACAAACTACAGTAACCCTCTTCCATCTGCAGGAAACTGTTATGGATCTGATCAAACATCAACCTGATTACAGTACAATGTACTCAATGATTAGGGTATGTATTATTCATGTTTTTTATTTTATTTTACTTGGTAAATCAATAATAGAAAGACTAGTTAAATGCTATAATTGTTCCGGTAGATTGGTTTCCTGTTATGGAATCTATCATTTACATAGCTAGTTCTGTGTCCTTTACAGGACAATGCAGAACCAACCCCAGTATTTTTGGTTGTTTGTGATTTCACTAGGCAATTTTATATTTAGCAGTTTATCATTTCTTCTAAACGGTTGTCTCTGGATACCTCTGTCAAGTGCAGCACTAGGTGGGTTACCAAACTGCCCAAATGGTTAGCTCTGTCAAGTCCAGTGTTAGGTGGGTTGCCAAACTGCCCAGATGGTTGCCTCTGTCAAGTCCAGCACTAGGTGGGTTGCCAAACTGCCCAAATGGTTAGCTCTGTCAAGTCAAGTGCTAGGTGGGTTGCCAAACTGCCCAGATGGTTGCCTCTGTCAAGTCCAGCACTAGGTGGGTTGCCAAACTGCCCAAATGGTTGGTCCTTTCAAGTCCAACACTAGGTGGGTTGCCAAACGGTTAGCTTTGGATACCACTGTCAAGTCCAATGCTAGGTGGGTTGCCAAACAGTTGGCTCTGTCAAGTCCAGTGCTTGGTGGGTTACCAAACTGCCCACAGCTGGGATCAAAACTGGCATCTTGTAATTATGAAGCATGTTCACAACACCTAAGTCACAGACGCGGACGGTCTTTCATAAGGACACTTAAATGTATTCATTCATTATAATTTTGATTTGATTTGATTCAAGAACTGACATCACAGCACTTGGAGCATTCCCATAAGCGCTCGGTCCCCATCTTCAGCAGCCAGCAAAGAGTTAATTCATTATAAGTGACAGGTCAAGTAAAGGACCCTTTTCTACACCTGCAGGCATATGTTTCTAGACCTATATTTTATACACCAATGGGCACCCAGTGGGTGATGAGGTCAAAGTCATGCTGACCACCTTTACTTCCCTGGACTAAATGTGGTACCCATTTTAGTCTGGATTTATCAGGGAACCAAAGTCATTTAAAAAAAAAAAAAAAGTCAAGCTCCGTTCGGATTTGAATTGATGATCGTCTGATCCACAGGTGAGCGTCTTGCTGCTACACCATGTTGGTTCTCTTGATTCATTATAGCACAGAAATGTTGAATGTAAATCGATTAATATTATTTAATCTACCCATCGAAGGCTGCCAACCTTTCTGAGATGTTCTCCCAGCCAAACATCACAGTGCTGATCACCAACAACAGAGCTTGGACCACGTTGTCTCTGCATGATCAAAACTACTTGGCTACTGATACAGTAAGTACTGAACTAATCAAAAACTTCAACCATCAGGGTGTTGATTCTTCTTCTATTTCTTCTCCTCCACCTTCTTATTCTTGTGTTGTGGTTTGCAGCTAAGCTGTTGTTGCCACAACACACCCAAAGTCAACTAAATTTTAATCACATTTTTAGTCCTGCTTGAAAAGGCCCAATGGGTCTGTTAATTTTTTCACAACAAAGTGAGGCCTAAAACCTACAAGGGGAGAAAAAGTACTGACTAATTGTCATTGGTTCAACTTATATAAGAGTGAGTGTTTCTTATTGGCTGGATTTAGATGAAAATGTTGATTAATTGTTATTGGTTCAGCTTGTATTCCAGTGAGTGTTTCTTATTGGCTGGATTTAGATAGAAGTGTTGACTAATTGTCATTGGTTCAACTTATGTTCCAGTGTTTCTTATTGGCTGTATTTAGATGGAAGTGTTGACCAATTGTTATTGGCTAAACTTATGTTCCAGTGTTTCTTATTGGCTGGATTTAGATGGAAGTGTTTTTTCAAGACTGCTTTACATTCAAAAGTAATACAATAATTATGTACTGATAATTGGAGTTGCAATAGTATATAGTTTTAATGTCTTACAGACCTGACCGTCTAAAACAAGTATTCTTTTTTTGTGTAAATCAATGAAATAGCAGTAAGCTGCTTGGTTATATTATCTACTGGTCACAGATTAGTGTTTTCAAACTGTATTGTCCTCTACACTGTGTCTTATCTAAATATATTAAAAACCCAAGATTGTAACCTACTCCCAGAGTATGTTGCAAAAGGTGAAGACAGATATGCTTTGTGCAGAGTAGCAAGCATCGATTCAGAGGCCCTGCGTATTTAGCATCCTTTGAATATTTTCTCCAGGGTATGCCACTGTGTTGGGAAATATACAGTGAAATAGACTGGCTGGTTCTGCACCACTTGTTGGTAAATTAGTGCATGACGAGCTAGATCTGGTAGGGAGCTTTTGGGAGTGAGTGAACAGTGCGAGGGCAAAAACAGTTAATGAAAGTCTGAAGATATTGGTGCCATGAGGAGTGACCAGGAGATCTGTCCAATGCTCAACACTCAGGGGAGATGTGATACAGATATACAATCAGACTGTTACTGGTATTGAAACATGCTGCTGAAGATAGGGATACAGTGCTTATAGACCCAACATGACATATCGAGAGAAGAAAGAAGTTCTAGAAGAATGGAGGGCAGTAAGAAGATGAAAGCAGTGTTGGCAGTGTCAAAAATAGTTGTTGCTGGTTTATTATTATCATGCCTTCATACCAGATTTTTTAAAATAAACTTCCATTTTGTTTTTGCCAGGATGGACTAGCAAGGCTGGCCGTGATTTTAAAACTTCATATTTTCCCTGGTGTCATTGATGTCACTGACCTGATCAACTTACAGACTATGAAATCAATCGCAAATATTCAGTTCAAAGTTCACGTCTCACTACAGGTGAGCACAAGATAATCATGTGGTAGCAAGAAGGTATTTTCTCACATCCCACACATATGATTGGGCACTGACACGCATACACGTTCACATGATCATGTGTGTAAACACAAATATCTATGTCACGTGATACGTAGAAACTGATGAAACTTAAAGAAGAAGAATAAAAATCAGACTTGGAACAAAGAAGACACAAACAATCGATTGCAAAATTTATTGCCTGGCATATTTCACAGTATCTCATCAGGTGCATACTAATAAATTGTATCCACCAATTTAAATGTAGCTGTGAAGCTGCTTATGTGGACAGAACTGATCGATGCCTGGAGAAACGAGTCGCTGAGCACAACCCTCCTCCTCTACTCCTCCTCCTCTACTCCTCCTCCTCTACTCCTCCTCTACTCCTCCTCTACTCCTCCTCTACTCCTCCTCCTCTACTCCTCCTCTACTCCTCCTCCTCTCCTCCTCCTCTACTCCTCCTCTACTCCTCCTCCTCTACTCCTCCTCCTCTACTCCTCTACCTCTACTCCTCCTCCTCTACTCCTCCTCCTCTACTCCTCTACCTCTACTCCTCCTCCTCTACTCCTCCTCCTCTACTCCTCCTCCTCTACTCCTCCTCCTCTACTCCTCCTCCTCTACTCCTCCTCCTCTACTCCTCCTCCTCTACTCCTCCTCCTCCTCTACTCCTCCTCCTCTACTCCTCCTCCTCCTCTTTCTCCCTTTCTTCTTTCTTTTTGTCTTCTTTCATTCTTTCAGCTTTCTTTCTTCTTCCTTATTTTTCTTCCTTCTTCTTCTCCCTTCTCCCTTCTTCTTTCCCCTTGTTCTTCTCCCTTGTTCTTCTCCCTTGTTTTTCTTCCTTGTTTTTCTTCCTTCTTATTCTCCCTTTTCCTCCTTTTTTCTCCTCACTTCTTCCCCTTCCTTTTTTTCTCTTTCCTTTCTGTCTCCTTTTCTTTCTCCTTCCTTTATTTTCCTTCCTTTCTTTCTCCTTCCTTCATTCCTTGTTTCCGGCGTAATGCTGACCACATTACCGATCGAGTGCCGATTGGTCTGTAAAAATATGGGTGCTCTTTCCATATGCCTGATACACCTAAGGGTGTGTAAAGGGATCTTTACTTTACTTTTTTTTGCTTACATTCCTTGTTTTCTGTTTCTTTCATTCTTTCTGTCTTTCTTTCTTTCTTTCTTTCTTTCTTTCTTTCTTTCTTTCTTTCTTTCTTTCTTTCTTTCTTTCTTTCTTTCTTTCTTTCTTTCTTTCTTTCTTTCTTTCTTTCTTTCTTTCTTTCTTCTTCCTTCCTTTCTTTCTTCTTCCTGGAAGATATAAAGAGCAAATAAACTTTAAATTCCTTGCAATAAAAAAGACATTTAAAAAAACATAAATACCTTCTTAAATAAATATAGAATGCGATATAATCATAATGTCAAATTAACAGCTGTGATATGAGATGCTTGTGGAAAGCTGCCAACTTGACCATCTGAGACAACGTTACAAATGATATTATCAGACAGACTGTAGGAACTACTCCATGCAGCAAATTTACAGAGAAACAGAAGATCAAATAGTTCTGTCAGCTAGTAAGAATGCAGCCAGAACAACTACCAACACAGGCGCTCTACACGAAAATAGTTGGTCTGAAAGCAAGAAGTCTTACTAGGAGAACATGGATTGATGTCACTAAAGAGCTTCTACATCATCACAGAATGACAATAGCTATTGCTGCCCACCAAGTAATGGAACACAAACAGTTCTTTCCCATGCCACTTAAAGGCAGAAGGTGAAATTGATGATGATGGTGATGATATAATTATAATCCAGAATGGCTGAACAGAATTAGCACCTTTTTGTCTTTCCAGATGATATAAAAGAATGGAAATCACAGCCTGTGGCTATCATTGAAGTGAGACTTAACAAGTAGCTCGCATTCAGAAAAGTTTAATAATGTAATACTGACATACATACAATACACATATGTATGTAGTATATACAAATGACCTACTAGTTTAGTAAAATGATTTTGATAAACAATTTTTCACATTATTATTATTTTTACCTAGGGTCAGATACAACTGAATACTGATGTCAATATAATCAGGGCTAACATTCCAATCCGTTCTGGTTTGTGTCATCAAGTGGATAAACTTACAGTCCCATCATACTTAAAACCTTTCATGACAAACATCTGTGAAGTCCAAGATACAGAACGTGTTGATGTAAGTAAATAATCATAAAGAAACTGTGTGAAGTCAATTATGAGTCTTTATTCAAAATAATTTATGGCTTAAAAACACTTTTCTTTCAGTATACTGTCGATCAAAAAATTTATTGACAAAACTCTCCATACCCCTCACATCCGAAAAATGTGGCTAATAAACATATTCTTCTTTCCTTAAACTATGTATCACGTGGTACTATGTATCAGCCAGCAGCTAGAGTGTACTATATGAGAACAGCAGGCTACCTGACCAAGAAAAACATGGGTGGATGGAGTAGAAGAGACACTACTACTGCAAAAAGCAGTAGGACAGACAAGTCAGGAAATAATATCTATCTCCTTTCTGTGAATGTTAAATGTTGAATTAAGAATCAAAACCGCAGCACTCAGGACACTTCCATAAGTGCTCCGTCTTCTCATACCTGACTAATAAAGACTGTCTTCTCATACCTCACTAATAAAGACTGTTTGTCTTCTCATACCTGACTAATAAAGACTGTTTGTTTTCTCATACCTGACTAAGGAAGGCTTTTTATCTCATACCTGACTAATAAAGACTGTTTGTCGTCTCATACCTGACTAATAAAGACTGTCTTCTCATACCTGACTAATAAAGACTGTTTGTCTTCTCATACCTGACTAATAAAGACTGTCTCCTCATACCTGACTAATAAAGAATGTTTGTCGTTTCATACCTGACTAATAAAGACTGTTTGTCTTCTCATACCTGACTAATAAAGACTGTCTCCTCATACCTGACTAATAAAGAATGTTTGTCGTTTCATACCTGACTAATAAAGACTATTTGTCTTCTCATACCTGACTAATAAAGACTGTCTCCTCATACCTGACTAATAAAGAATGTTTGTCGTTTCATACCTGACTAATAAAGACTGTTTGTCTTCTCATACCTGACTAATAAAGACTGTTTGTCTTCTCATACCTGACTAATAAAGACTGTCTCCTCATACCTGACTAATAAAGACTGTTTGTCGTCTCATACCTGACTAATAAAGACTGTTTGTCTTCTCATACCTGACTAATAAAGACTGTCTTCTCATACCTGACTAATAAAGACTGTTTGTCTTCTCGTACCTGACTAATAAAGACTGTCTCCTCATACCTGACTAATAAAGAATGTTTGTCGTTTCATACCTGACTAATAAAGACTGTTTGTCTTCTCATACCTGACTAATAAAAACTGTTTGTCTTCTCATACCTGACTAATAAAGACTGTTTGTCTTCTCATACCTGACTAATAAAAACTGTTTGTCTTCTCATACCTGACTAATGAAGACTGTTGAAAAGTCAGATTTGTGTGGAAAAGGAAGTTGATTGGATGGAATACAAGTAATTAGTTTACTGGAGGAGAACATTGTTTAAAATCTTTCCTAATTTTAGGCAGTTACAAGGCCAGATTTGCTGTCACTTGGCATGCCAAAAAACTGATGTTAGTTTTGGGACTAACTCATGACACTGCATGGCTATGATTTTATCTGTAATTAGTGTGGTAAATAAAGTTTTTTTTTAATCATCCTTTATTACTTTCTTTTTTTTTTTTTCTCATCACAGGGACCTTGCAAAATTTGTGGTAGAAAATTACCCTGTTTTAGGCCTACAGATGAACCAACAGTAAGACTTTTGTCTATTTTTTATTGCAGGAAGGTATTTATTTATCTCAGTGTTTAGATAGTGAAAAAAGGTAGTTGTTGTGTATCCTTTAAATAACGTTGCAGAAGCAACCCCAACATTTTTTGGTTGTTGTTTTTCTCAGTAAATTTCACACTCAGTAGTTTGCCATTGCTTTTTGAATGATCATCTCTTGATAAAATTGTCAAAGCCAATGCAGTATGTTCTGCTGCCAAATCATCCATCCATGGCTGGGAACAAACCCAGCTAGTAAAATGCTACATGCTAGTAGCAAGTCATTAAACATGACCCCCCGGCAACATAGGACAAGCCCTGTGACACAGCAATTTATAAATGGCAAGAGAAGTCACTCTCATCCTGGGCCGGGAAACGTAAAAAGCACTGAGCTATCAAAAAACTTACTTGTCATTTACTTTCATCCTGCCCCAACTTCATAAACAAAATTTCCAGTTGTTACAACATACTCCAGAGTTTTTCTTCTGTAATATGGCCAAAAAATACATGAAGTATATGCCTCTTTCTTATGTTTGTGATAAAGTAACTCCATATTTTGGCCTTTTTCAAAACATGATGATTACTCATTTTGGCTGTCTATAGAATAGTCAGCAACCTTCTGTAGGATCATACCTCTGAAGCCACAACGGATTTTTAATATTTGGTTGCTTTTGTGGAAAAGTAGCCAAGTTGTTTACCTCAGGTTGCGAAGCTGTTGGTTAATTTTTGAACAGGCATTCAGTTCATTCGTTAACATTTTTTTTTTTATTTTAGAAATTAAATTTCTACAATTTTTAATTCTAAGTTCTTTTTTTTTTTTTTGGAGCATTAGGAGATTCAGAATTTAGATTCTCAAGTTTATCAGTTTGCAGTAGGCATGTAAGAGGAATTATATTGCTGTTTTATGCAGGAAAACAAAATATTACTGCATTCTTGGAAGACCAGCTAATATTGATACTGTTTACTGTCTTTACAGGGTGATAGAAGATACAGAGAGAGAAGAGAATGTTATAATTCCAACAAAGATGATGATGATTATGATTTCATTTATAGCCATTGGTCCTTTCACAATCACCGGTCCAGGCGCAGTTGGTGGAAATTACCTCCTTATCCTATTGAAGAATCGTATCCATTAAGTTATTGTTCTGCAATTTGCATGCGACACACTAAGGTAAGAATTCCTGTTAATGTGCTGTTCTAAATTAAAACTGTTTCAGATTTGTTAGATTTGATTTCATTCAAGAACCAACATCACAGTACTCTGGGTATTCCCATAAGCACTCTGTCCTCATCTTCAGCAGCCAACCTAGAGTTCCAAAACCAATGGTGCCAATATAAGTCTGATTATATGTCCATCTGGCTTTTCCTCTGAGCGTCCAGTATCAATCAGAGCTTCTCCTCACTCCTCACTGCATCACTCTTACCAGACTGTGATGATCAGTCTGCTGTTCCAAATTGTACATTTGCTCCCTCCTATAATGTCTTAGCCACATCTGCCTTATCATACATCAGTATTCCACCAAGTTTTGTAGAGCCAGCCAGTCTGTCAACCAGTTCATTTCCCATCACACTGACATACCCCAGAGAAAAGGTCCAGACATTGCTCTTTATGCATGACCTTCGAAGCAAAGCATGCCCCTCTGCACAAAGCATGCCCCTCCTCACATTCCTCAGCATGCTTTCTGAGACAGCTATAATCACAATATTTATGTAAATCGCGTTCTTTAGCCAACGGAAAGCTGCAGTGACCGCCTCTACAAGCTGGATGTTGTGGTATCATATGCTAGGCTCTCCTGCACTAAACGTTGACCATTAACTTTGTCTAAGAATCCCCAGACACCTATTTTCCACTTGACACTGAACAAACTGTATCAATAATCACATCACGCAAGCAAGCATTAAACTAATTAACTGCTGAATTTCCATATCCGTGGCACCTGTTGGCCACTCCCTCTACACTCCCATTTCAATGTGATTATGACTCTACAAAAGTCTGACTGTTCCACTGGACCTCTGACATTTGTTGGAAAAAAAAAAATTGTTTTATTTTGTGTCAGGTGATCCCATTGTAGGTTCCAGGGACTGATTTGTGTCAGGAGATACCATTATAGGTTCCAGGGACTGATTTATGTCAGGAGATCCCATTATAGGGTCCAGGACCTATAAGTGTTATTTGTTTTCATAATTTGAAAGTCTCATTAAGTAATCAGAGTTCTCAAAGAACAAGCAGTACTCCTGTATAATCATTCTTTGGTTAAGAGAGAGACAGAGCATGAGTTTAGTTTGTCCTGAGTGCCAGGATGTTTATTCCTATTAATATGTGTGTACCTGGAATGAAGGATTACATAGAGATTATTGTTTGGCAAAAAATGGCTGTTCTGGGGGAGATTATTCAGTAATGGACCCTTTTCTTGCTATTTGTGCAAAAAGGCATATAATATTTTTGCCATATTCTTTTAACATACAGTGGAACCTCGCTTAACAAGCATAATTAGTTCCAGAATCATACTTGTTAAGTGAAACACTCGTTATGCGAAACAATTTTTCTCATATAAATTAATGTAAAATGCTATGTATAACGTTTATTCAAAGACAATTATATACATACTGTTAAGGAGAGTGAATCATCTTCATATTTTCTTCCACCGCTGAATGAACCCACCTGGAATAATAATTCGATTTGCAGAAGAAAAAAGTCAAAATAATTATGATACATAGCTAATTATTTTTTTTTTACTAAAAAGATGCCCAGAAACATTTATTTTTGCCGACGATTCAAATTTAGCAAAAATGCGACACAGCATTTTCATTTAAATTTGCAGCGCGCATAGCCACTTCCTTTTTAGTGTGATGCTTCTAAATGTAAGATGCAAAAGTTTCCCATGCTTTCAGCATCTATCTTATTTCGCCAGAAGATTGTTGCTTTTCTGTCACCTCCTACTCCTCCTCTGACAAACTTTCCACTAAAACTTCTTGCTGTGAAACACAATGCAACTACATAAGCTCTTCTGTGGTCAGCTCTTGGCTGTGCTCTTTCACAAGCTCTTTGATATCACTGTTATCCACCTACAATCCCATGATAGTGGTGTAACAGGGAGACGTCATTACTTGTTTGAAGGAAGTAGGTTATTATGCAGAGTTATGATGTACTGATATTCAACAAGTTTTGGTAACCTTGACATTCCCTTTTCCAGAATCTTCTGTTCCCGCCAAAACTAGCTGTTGACATCAAACTGATGTTGTCTGGCCTTGGCCTTCTTTCTAGAAGTTTTTGAATGCGTTTTTCATCATATGACCCAACCTTGCCTAACTAGTAAATACCTTGTTGTCATGCCTTATCAAAGCAAACACAATTGTCCTTGTTTTTTAGAAGCTTCTATGACCTCAATTGTCAGTTTAACTATTATATCTGTGTAGAATAGGATAATGAAATCCGAAGCACTTTCAATATTTTTAGAAAACACCACGTGAGAACGTACCTTGTAAACAAGCTGAGACGTACTATAATATTCTAGAAGCCAAAGAAAACAAATACCTAGCATTCCAGCATCCAAGTATAAATAACCAGTAACAAAGCACCCCAGAGCAATTCTTCAGTCCACAAGACTCAAGAGAGGAGAGAACAGTCACATGGAAACTTAAGACAGCCTTCAGTGGTAGAGATGTTAGCCCAACACTAGAAGCTTTCAGTCGTTGAGACTCAGAGGACGAGCGACTAGTCTCAATGATCCTCGATGCCAGCTCAACACTGGAAGGAGAGCAGCCATTCATATGGAACCTCAAAGACATTCACTGGAGAGCAGACATGAAACGAGACATCGAGCTACAGAGACGGCACACAAGATACATGGATCCATGAAGAACAGAGACATATTAGGAACACTATAGAGGTGTTCGAGTCAGCGCTTAAGACGTTAGTACCAAACAGCACTTGAAGCCAGGTGGCAGTTAGAGACACTAGAATCAGTTAACAAAGTAACTAGAGATGAAAAACACAACGCGAACCTACGAGAACCATAGAGAGATCACAGCGCTATTCAGAATATCATTGATATTGTTTGTGACATTGTTAAAGCATCACAATAAAGACAGTATAGACAAGAACTGTTGTTTCCAGGCATTTTATTATACAAGCACCAAAGTCACGTGAGAAGCATGCAGCAAGCAAGACATCATCATCATTATAATCACTAACGACGCGACCATCTTTCTCCTCGTCTATAATCTTCAAATCGACTCCTCCTGTAGCAAACCTAAAGACGAACCTGGGTGTGACATCAACACATGCAACGAAGAACAGAGTTGTGCTACAGTGGCCAAAGACACAATCTCGTTGACTACAGGTTCCACAGGTACTGTCTCGAATCCCTCCAAGTCACAAATCGACAACGCTCTCCAGCCAAAGCTTCTTCCAAGCAGAAGTTATGGTTCTCTTGGTAACCCCTTCCCCACCTTGTCGATCATCTTGAGGCAGGAATCGATGTGGAAGTGATTTTTCCAAAACTCTTTGAGAGATAGGTTTGTCCCTTCAGTCACCTGAAAACAATGCTCAAAGAGTGCTTTAGTGTAGAGCTTTCCTAAAGTTAGAAATAACTTGCTGGTCCATGGGCTGGAGTAATGGAGTGGTGTTGGGAGGCAGAAACTGGATCTTGATGAACTTACATTTTTCATAGAGATCATCTTGAAGGCCTGGAGGATTCATGTACATATATCACAATATAACACAAGTTTAAGAAAATGTAAGATCACAAGCGACACTACGATACTACTGGAACAAGTGCTAAACATGCGCACAATTCAGGACTGCCCCTCTCCTCGCCACTTGTTATGTGAAACGTCGCTTGTTATGCAAGTCATTTTTGTTACATTTTGTTTTGCTCATTATTCGAGTGACTTGTTATGAGAGGTGCTTGTTACGCGAGGTTCTACTGTACTTACTTGCAAAAGAAAATTAACACTTCATATATTCTTCAGTGACTAGTGTAGTTTGTGTTTGACTGCAACAACATTTTTTGACAGAAGTGAAGCGATGCCTAATGTGGTAAAGGGGTCAGAATGAAAAGTCACACTACTTAGTGAGTGTTGTGTCATCTGGCATTAATCATAGTTTCACAGCTGCATTTCATTGTGTGATTTAAGTTTTAGATTGCACCTCATGGTGGATTTCTTCAAGCATGTGTAAGTATATTTTCAAGCTTTAATCGATTTTGAGTGGATTTCGTGGCATTTTTGACATGGCTGTCAACCTGTGGTTAAGAGTTAATGTCAGGTAAAGTGATGACCATGGATGAAGAATGTTAATGTTGTTCTGCAACAGAAATGCAGCGGTTCTCATACTTGATGATGGGTTGCACTTTCATGCATACATGCAAAGTCTTTTCCATGTGTTTGAAAAGTTGAAGCATGTTGTGTTGGGACATTGTTTATGTATGGCTGTTCAGAGATGTTTCTCCCAGCTGGTACCAGCTGTGTTCTACAATTCTCTTATATCCTTCCCCACCAATGTTTAAATCCTCAATGGATGCAGTTACAGCATACCATTTATGTAGACTTCTGTATACCCTGATTATGTCTGTTGAGTAAAAGACAGTGTCAATGACATGAATTAATCACCATATACTACACTTTGCACAGAGACAGGTTTGCTGTTCTGGTTTCTATGGCTCGAGCTGTAGCCCTTGTCCTGGAGGTTTCACAAATCCTTGTAGTGGAAATGGAAAAGTAAGTGGAGGTGATCTGTATGTTTAAGTAAAGTTAATCAACATGTTCAAGTGGAGATAATTGATGTTTCAATGGTGGTTGTCTGTCTACTGAGTGAAGGTAACTGCGTTTAAGTGAAGGTAATGAATGTTTTTAAGTGGATCTTATCAACATTTTTAAGTGATGGCAATGTGTATGTTGAGTGGAGATAATTGTGTTTAAGTGGAGGTAATTGATATACTGAATGGAGATAACTGTGCATTGTTGCGCATGTAAAAATAATCCAGTGGCAGTTGGAAATAGAAAAGAGTAGCACTACCTGGGCAAAATTTAGAGCTAAAAATCTACCCAAAGAATTTCAGGATCTTTGCCGGTGCTACAAAGTCTGTGCACTGTGCTGAGCTTTTTAAAACTCAGATTTGAGTTAGAAGAAGAATGAAGCACTTATGGGTTACAACTTGTGTGCCATGATGTTGATCTGTTGATCAAACCCCAAACCTCAAACCTATCCCAAAAAGCGGTGCATAGCTTGGTAAAGAATTTATCTCCAGGACACTTTTGCAACAGACGCATCTATGCTGTGGGCGGAGGAGATTATTAGAGGTGACAAGCAAGTAATAATTGACTCTGTAGCAGCTGCAATTGGGTGCCCACATCATTTTTGGCTCACTGAAAACCCACTTTCACAGGAGACATTTCACGAATGACACAGAAGTTTAATGTGAAGTGAAAATGTGGTTGAGAAAATGAGAACGCAGTTCTTTGCAGCATGTTTAGGAGGACTGATAAAATGATGGCACAAGTGCATCAATGTTGGTGGAAATTATGTTAAAAATAAAGGGACAATGTGTGTGTGTGTGTGTGTGTGCGCACATATGTGCGTGTGTGTCTGCATGCGTGCCTGCGTGCATGTGTAAAAAAAAATGGTTTTCAAGTTGTTATAATCTTTAGTTTCTTTTAAACAACAATTTGTGACTTACTTGTTGACTTACCCTCTTATATGAAAATTGATAAATCCAAGCATTTCAGTTATGATAATAGTGTACAAAATTAAAAAACAGAACACTCTTGCCAATAAGTAAAGGAAGGGGAAAAAACAATTCCATACTGTGATATATTTTTGGTAAATGGTACTAGCCCCATATTTAAAATGACTGTGCACTCAGTGGGTGAAGTTATCATTATATCAGCTGCCTCTACTTCCTTGGTTATTTACTTTTAGGCATTCCAACAGGAGACTAGATTAGCATATTTACAAAATTCTGGCATAGGCTAAAATTAAAGTGTATTTATGTGATGTGCAGAAATTATGGCCAGCAATTTTCTTTGGTTTTAACTTTTTAAAGTGCTCAGCTGGCAAAGATGGAACAGGCCAGTGTTCATGTAATAAGAATTTTGCTGGGACCGCTTGTAACCAGTGTGCAAGGAATGACACTTTTGGAACTCTCTGTGAAAAAAGTAAGTTT